TTAAAGTGACATTGAAGAAAAAGTGCTGCACCTAATTTTAGATTTAATTAAGTCCTGTATTGGTCAGTAACCTTGATAGCATTGTGTCAAAACCTCCCGTGGTAGTTTCTCAATATAAAGGCTTGTGACTGCCTTCCTATCACGATATGTTGACTGTAAAAGTAGTGAGGAATTGAGAGAATGACTGTTGGAAATGTGAATGAATAAGGTTTAGAGAAATTGCCTCCCTAGCAGTCTGTGGGCCGGCTGACATGCTCTATTTCTGCAGGGTTTTTTAGGTTGCTAGAGTACGTTCTCATAAATAAACTAGAAGGGCTCTTGGAGAGTGAAGACCTCCGCCATGTGCCATGCATCTGCCAATGTTAACGACAGCACAAGATAAACTGTGCATCTGAATCTGATTCGGATCCGCTCCAAACAGTTTACGGGTTCTTCTTTGGCTCGTGCTACACCCTGCCAACTATGCTTATAATAATTGTGCCCTCTGATTACAAATGAGCAAATAAACCAAATCTAAAACATAAACCTCCTTGGAGGATGTTATTTATGAATGAAGAGATAAATACAAACAGTAGTAAGCTTTCTTAAATTGGAAACAGAGAACAGATGGTCGATTGCCTTGAGGATTATTGGAAGTTAAATAGTAGATGGATGGATGGATGGATGGATGGATGGATGGATAGATAGATAGATAGATAGATAGATAGATGGATGGATGGATGGATGGATGGATAGATAGATGGATGGATGGATAGATAGATAGATAGATGGATGGATGGATGGATGGATAGACAGATGGATGGATGGATAGATAGATAGATAGATGGATGGATGGATAGATAGATAGATAGATAGATGGATGGATAGACAGATAGATGGATAGACAGATAGATGGATAGACAGATAGATGGATAGACAGATAGATAGATAGATAGATACATGTGGAAATACAAATGTCCAGTAAAAAAATATAATGCAGGATATTATATATACATTAAATTGAATATCCTTTTTTTTAACCAATTTACCAGACAAACAACACATACACAAGCACAGTACATTACAACAAATAGTTGCCAGACAGCGAGTATTCTACAGTTTGGAGGAAGTACATTTCTGTATGATGGACATAGACAGTGATTTATTAATGTATGGTGTGATATTGTTCACAATTAAACAAGGTTCGGACATTCAGCATTTCCAAAAGGAATATCTACAATCACACTTATTTCGAGTTATATTTCAACCATTTCGAGTAGACCATCGAACTGTGTACAGGTCATATTGAAGTCTTAACAAGAGTGTCAATCTCTTCATGTCATGAATGTCTTTAATGATCTCAATCCAATGATCGACTGAAGGAGATTCGGCCTGTAACCACTTACGAGTAATAGCTTTTTTTGCTGCTACAGGAAATATTTTCAAAAGGTATTTATTACTCCCCGTCATTTATTCTGGAAGGTCACCCAAGTAGAGAACTACAAAAGAGAAAGGGATCTGTAACTCTAGAATATGCTCCCTGTAAGGGAAACTTCTGTGTAGCAATGCAGTGGGAGTCACCGACTCAGGAAAGAGACACGGGAAGAGCAGGAGCTTTGATGTCAAACACTGATGGTTTATTTGGAGCTTCGGCTGGAGAATTCACATCACAAGTCACAGCAGCCACGGTCTGACTGCACGGGAGAGTTGCCACGTCAATTCTGGCGCGCCTCTCTCTCGTTAGCCCATTTAACTGGTTTCACAGAGAGTAATCAACATGTTTGAGAAGATAGCCTAAACAGTTGGGAACACTGAGTTACTTGCGTCTGACACTTATGGCCTCGAAGATTTCACACCTTGGAGCCCACAAACACAGAGAAGGAAGTGTCCCAGTGCACCCACAACAATAATCTGTGACCTAGGGTTGACGGGTCATAGAATGGGAACAACAACATTATGGCTGAAGCAGCCTATGTCCTTAAAGGAGATAACAGACGTCAGGGTTGGTCAAGCACGTCATATCTAGGAGTCTAGGACAATTATTTCCCTAACACTCTCCAAATATCATCCCAACCAGTGACATATTTCACTTTGTTTGGATTGTATTGCCGTGTTCACAAAATGAAATAAAGTCACATTTAGATTTTCTCCTTGCACTGATGTGACCGCTGCTTCCAGAGAATGAATAGATAGTCAATGGCCCTGAAGATTATCAGAAATGAAATAATGTAGTGATGTTAGGTTCACGAACAATCCGATTCTTTGGCTCTTTGGTACGAAGGAAGGGAACCGAGTCGTACTTGGTGAGAGCCGTTCTTCAGTGGTAGAGGTAGACGACCTGTTTTCAGCCAAACGCGAAAACGCAGCAGCATTTGGATGCACTTCAACAAAAACATAGGCAATGATAAAGCGGAGTGCAACATTTGTAAAGCTAAAATATCATTTAAAGCAGGGTCAACAATTACCCATCACTAAAATAATGTGAAGGCATTTTGTCATATCGATTTTTAACCAATACACCAGTGACTGATTTCACTTTGTTTGGATTTTAATGCCGTGTTCACAAAATCTGTCCGTGAAATAAAGTCACATTTAGACTTTCTCCTTGCACCGACTGCTGCTCCCAGAGAATCGTGCAGAGGAGGCGTTCTGCTGCTGCTGCACTGCATCATGGTTTGTCCTTGACAACAGTATACAGAAACACCATCACTGCAGCAGACTGCTTGCTCTGCAGATGCAACCCCAGCCCAAAGCGGCTGAACAGCAGGGAAGTGAAGTGGCCTGTTGGCTGAGCTCCAGCACCCGGTTAATGTTTCTGATCCTCCAGCAAAAAGTGAGCGGAGGAATCTGCATCCATCTTTAGACTCGGTCAGGCGTGATGAGGATGAGACAACAGAAATCCCCAGCTGTGGCAGCTCTGTTATAAACTGCTGCCAAATAAAACTATTGACTATCTATAAAGGCTGCTGATTTATGGAGGTTATGGTTTGCTGCTTGTAGGGTAGGGAGGATAGATTATTACTAGTTATAGGGTTTGAATGACTCGACAAAATGTCTAATCTAATCTAAGCCACACAATAAGAATGTAATGATTACTTTCTGTTACCTCAATATCAATGCACTGCATAAAGAAACACAAGAGAGAATACATATTAATAAGGTGGCTTTTAAATAAGTGTATCGCTGTATGTAAGCCAACAGAACAATGTGACCTTAGAAAAGAAGAAACCAAGATATTTAGGATCAAAAATGTGTTCTCGTACATTTTAGGCTAGGCATGAAGAGATGCTGTTTTAGTTTAAAATAGGCCCTATTATGCTTTTGGGGGTTTCCCTGAACTCTAGTGTGTTATTTAGGTTTTTGTGCATGTCTGAAAAGGCTAAAATCCTGAAGTTTTCCCCAGAGGGAGTTTCTCTAAAAGACTACATCCACTGGTTACAGAATAACATTTCTTAAAGGGGACCTATCATGCAAAATGCACTTTGTGATGTCTTTCATACATCAATATGTGTCCCCGGTGTGTCAGGGAACTCACGCAGCGTCAGAAAATAAAACCCTCTCTCTTTTCCTCCGTACCCAAATCTTTTAAAAACGGGGGTACAACGAGCGGATACAGATTTGCTGCCGATCTGATGTCAAATCGGCAGCGGACCCACAGAGAGTTGCTATCAGAAACAATGCCTGACGTGTTTTGGACGTAATCTTGTCTTTGTTTACATTAGCATCGCTAACACTCAGAGCTAACCTGTACTGTGGAGAGCATGTGTTTAAAAAGCAAGAAATAAAAAAAGGGACTCACCTTGTGATAAACCCGCAAGAGAAAAAGCATTTGAGCTCCATACTGTTTCAGAAATAATCCTTGATGTGGTTTAGAACAGGATGGCGTTTTATCACAGCAGAATTTAACTGTATCTCCGGTAGAATTCTGATCAGGCATTAGCTCCGCCTCCTCTTTTTTTTTTTCAAGCTAAGGACCCAAAATCTGTGTTTCTCTAACAGGGCTTCAAAAGAGGGGTATGAGCAGTATGAGGCATGAGTGATCTGTTTTGTATTTTAAACTTCACAGGTATGTTTTGTATTTCTACAATATATTTTTCCAATATAGCATAATAGGTCCACTTTAAGTAAATCATTTAGCTTTGACAGCAAGTGGATGTTTTGATGATCACAAACATAATCAAAGACTGATAATAGTGGAGATTGCACACTGCATTTATTTATCGAGGCTCAAGCTTGAATTGAGATGCTGCCATTAAGAGTCCACGTTCGATAGAAAAAGGGATGGAGCACCGGTTCTGATCCAGCCGTCTTTGTGCAGCGTTCATATCTCACACACTGATCGATGGGCATCTCTGTTCAGCTGCATAATCTCTGTCATTCAGTCTCATCAGTTCTGTGAGGAAGCTGCTTGTGGCTGAAATGTGCTGTGTAATGCAAAGAATATGCTCTTACTGTACTGTGTATGCAAGCAGTATTCTGTCAGTAAGGGAAGACAGTTCTTGTATCATCATTATGTAATACGTGACTCCCAAAGCCTTATCGTTGAGTATAGTCTGAACTCACACAATTCGGACATACCCTAACCCTCACCCTCTGAAAACAGTGACAAAAATATTCTTTACCCACTTGTAAAGCATAAGGCTGTCATTCATGTTTCAAATATTGTTTTGAATATTACTTTCCATGTTCTCGGCTCTGGTCTTGAAGGACAAATCAGCAACAATTATGGTAAAGACAAGAGTGTTTGGAATATATTCAACATATGAATGGAGAGTGCGGTAGTGATATGGTGGTTTGAGATGTTTCAATAGAAATGTTGATATTTGCCATCAAACCGAGTCTAAATAACCCTTGAATTGAATCTGATTTGACTGCAGCTGTCATTTCAAAACCACCTTTCCTTTAAGAAGGATTGAACGTATACCTCCACTTAATATAACATTGTTTTCACATTACAAACTCAGTGTTACCCATGTGTGTGTGTTGTTTTCTTGCACTAACTTTTGGTGTTTTTTTCACAGCTGCCGGCTCCACCACCACGACAGCAAAGACCTCCAGTCATGTGACCCGCTGCAGTGACAAGCAGAGGAACTACTGTGTGAACGGAGGGGAGTGCTTCACCCTTGAGATCATGCCCGGCAGCACAAAGTTTCTTTGCAGGTACGATAAGGACATTTAATATGTTTGAAGCATCTACTGTGATTTATGATACCTGCTCTGTTGAGTAACGAAAACAGAATGTAACTTTGGAGAAAGGTGTTGGGAAACCTACATATATTTAACTTTCAACATAAACAAATATGATGGAAACAACATTGTATTATACATAAACAATTTAACATAAGAAATAAGATACATTAGTAGTATAAAACGAGTTAATTGGTTTATTATTTCTTGATTCTTATTGAAATAATTGTTGAGCTACAGCAAAGATGGCTGAGTAACAACCAGTGACATCCTTCCAACACCCTCCATGTGTCTGAACACGCACATAGCTTAGCTATAAGCTTAGCTTATCAAACCATCTGCTCCAAATAAATAGCGGGTAGGAGTTATTTGCTTCTGCTGGGTCCAAACTAAAAGGCAAACTATTAAACACAACAGAACATGGTTGTATTGTTGCAATAATTTCAGAGATGCTGTACTCTGAAACACAATTCTAGCTATATCTTACACAATGCACCTTAAATTAAAATCCCTTTAACATAGCAGTTAATACCTGTCCCTCTCTCTCATGTGCAGAGTATATTCCATGCAAAAGACGTACGACATTATAGGTTTATAACTTCTGTCGAGTGTTTTAGTGGTTGTTATTCGTTGTCAGATGAGACTGACACACAGACTGTTTGTCCAAAGATAAATGTTTAGGCAAACCTAGAGGCTACCCAAAAAAGTGTGATTTGGTTCGGACCAGTGGAAATTCTGTGTGTTGAATGCAAATCTACAAGCTTCGAGATCCACAAAAGCCTTTTTGATTCACTAATAAAAACTGTATTCATGATTCTTTGGAAAGTAAATGTCAGAACATATTTACAAATTATTTTCAGTTACTTGTAAATCCCTTTTAAGTTTGAAATGTGTTCATGTATTTGGAAATATTTGCAAAACTCTTTTGAGTTATCATTTTTTGCAATATTTTGCATTTGTGGAAGGGGTTTTCCAATGTACAGATTTCAGATTTCCACATGGAACGTTGATCTGTTCAAACAATTACAATGGAGTGATTCCAAAAGGAGGTCATGGTCTAATAATGAAACCATTGGAACCACATCGTCTGCAGAAAGGGATACAATTCCCCAAACTCCACACTCTGACATCATTGGCTGCATCCTGCGGGACACAACCTGGGCCCTGCACCACTTCCCCATCGGGAGTCAATTCAAGGTGGAACAGAACTTTCTTGAAGCCAACTGAAAGTCCTTCTCCATAGGCTTCCTGAAACTGCGACTCGCATAGTATCTTCTCGTACCTCTCTGGTTCTTCAGGAGACCCTTGGCCTTCTGTAGCCCAAAAGGTCCCCTTTGTTCTTAGTCCGCCAACACTGGCAATGGAGGTGAGGGTTTGATCTAGATTCCCTGACTCCAATCTCCCCTGGGAGGCTTCTTGTAACTCTTCTGGACGTGGGAAGTTCTGTTCCTCTCTTCGCCTGAATGTCCAAGCCATGCTGCAGCAGATCTGATTATATGATCAGTCGTTGAGCCCCAATGACAAACTCCCCAATGACCCACCCTTGCCGGTTTCTCCATAGTTGCCTCTCAAGTCCCCAGAATGTATCCTGTTAACGTAGCCATGCAAAGATTGAAGATAAGCAAGTACTCTGATCTGCTGTTTGGTACGCACAAACAACTGTAAGATACTCCCATGTGACCCTCTTGACCACAGCGGTGCTCAGGTGGGGGCCAACAAGTATTCCTCTCACCCTGAGCAACTCTGGAAAGGCGTTTGTTTCACAACCCAACTGTTTTCATTCCCATTTGTCATTGCTGGTGTTTCGACCCCGCCATGTCTAGGTGAGCCGAACTGAATCTAGTTGGTTCTGCTTCACCTCCAACACTAAATACAATCCTTTTCCTTCCAGAGAGGCGACCTTCCACAACCCTAAACCGTCTGAGATGCTAAGTCAGTTCGCCTAGGACAATTAGCTTTGTACCGTCAGCCAAGAATTACATTATATTGGGGGATTCTGCAGCTCTTAATATAGCTTTAATACTATCATTCAGTGCCAATGTAGGAAGCAAGTGTGCTCTGGAAAGTACATCAATGAATTGGGGTCTGGGTGGTGGGTGTAGCACATCTGAGTCGAGCATGAAACTAGGAGGTTGTGTCTGGTCAAAAACAAACCCACAATAGTTCCCTTCACCTGCATTTTTACACTTGGCATACACACCTATTTACTCGCTAGTGAAAAAGAGCACCCAGACATCCAGCTAATGCTAACCCTAACCTTTTCTGGCCCATTCGAGAGATCTAAAGATTGGGAGGCGACGCAGGGCACATTCTTATTCATCTTAAACATACCATAGAGAAGGAGATATTGTAGAGAATTTTAGAGCCATTGGATTTTACATTAAATAACTTTAAATCAACGATAAAGGAAACAGGATTGCATTCTGGATCCTCCCATGTGTTGTGACTGTCCCCCGGATGTCTCTGTGTTTGTCTTCCCATGTCTTGTGTGTAACATTCAGTACTATTTATGTTTCCTTTCTACCCATCAACCAGGTGCTTGGCGGGATTCACTGGGCACCGATGTGAACAAGCTGTGCTTAAGAAAGTCTCAGACCCAAAACGTATGTGAACCCAACTGTATTCAATCCCACATGTCATTGCTGGTGTTTCACCCCCCCCCGTCATATTTTCTCCAAGAAACTGGAGAAATCCATGTTTTCCCTAAATAAAGGGATTCAGTTCCAATTTTATAAGTTCAACATTCAAGGGTGAGCCCTCCAGAAAGGCTCGAGCACACTCTCCTGTTGCGTAGTGCGCTGAAATGTGCATGTACTTCACATCTCATCACACCCCATCCATTCAGTTTTGATTTCTACTTCTACTCCCTGCATCAGAACCTTATCCCAATGGTCCCATGCTAAACTGACCACTATGTGACTGGTAAAGCAGGGAGGATTTGTATCAAACACACATTTTGTACATACAGGAGACCCAAGGATTCACTAGTGAGGCAGTTAGCTCCAAATCACTAGTAGAGACATTACTGGAAGCCATCAATACTCTTTGTAATAGCCATGTTGTATGACTTGACATTTGGATGGGGTCATACTATAACACCCCTTATTTAGGATTATGTTAAAGCAAGAATAGGATTGTCCTAATACGTACATGCAAATTTCAGTTCGCTTCTACAACAGTGATCAAACCTATAGTTTGATGGAGGGCCTTTGGAATAAAAGAGCTGTTTCTGATATAATCACCCTCAACTGAAGACCTCAATTCGATGTGCTTGTGTATGAAGGTCTGAGAATATTAATCCCTCCATAGCTGGATATATCGGTCTATATATGGCCCTTTCTGTCAACACCAGTAATGACTGTTGTGGGTTTTGCACAGCTCTTGTATAAACTAACTTCTTCTCTCTTTGTCTGTTTCTTGTGTTTCCTGCTCAGGTGTCCAAATGAATTTACTGGTGATCGCTGCCAAAACTATGTAATGGCCAGCTTTTACAGTATGTCTATATCCTTTTTCTATTTTTCCTTGGATTGAAGCATGCTCAGTTAACAGTGTTTGTGTACCTGTGGACCCGTTCCTTAGATGTGTGATTTATGCAGCCCGTAATGTTTCTCATGTTCTGTGTTTTTCTCCGTTAAAGCTGCATGTGGTGTCGTAGAGATTACATTCATTGTATGTCTATTTCAAATGACTGAACAAGTTTGAGATATACATTTTAAAACTGGACGTCCCAATCCTAACTGTGTCTTGTAGGTGAATTTTACTTTGGTGAACAAGTAGGATGAACATGGTTACAAACACTATTCATTTGTATATTTTGTTGTTACTAGACCTCATTTGTTCTAACACACATACAAACACACAAACAAAATAGGACAAAGACGCAACATAGCTGAACTTCTTCTAGCCTGCCACTAAGACATTCAGAGGTATCAATGCAATATTTTTCATTAAAATACAACTGCCTTAGAAGCTATTGCATGCAGACAACCCTAACCTTGGGCTGACAATGACTGAACAGCTTGACCCTAACCCTAACCCCTTGAGGTGAATCTGGGTGTGTAATATGGATGCACCAGTTTCCATGCTGTTAAATAATCGTTTGACATTAGGTACTTCGATAACAAGTGGTTAGTTGCAGTTTTTGTTAGTTGGCGGGTTCAGTGAGTATTGGGCTGTGAGCAGAGTCCAATACAGTGTTAGTGGTCAAGCAGTCTCATAGAAGACGTTCTGATATCTTGACCCTTTTTCTGCATCCTCTGCCCATGGGGGTGTGTCATTTTCCTCAATCATTTTGACCAGGGAAGTCTAGAATAAGATTGTTAGACATATTAGTTAAGCCAACATTATGAATCTCAAAGGGCCTTCTAGTAAGCACTTTGGAAGATATGTACTTTGATGAACCAGATAATTGGGTTTTACTTTAAGTGTTATGTTGAATAGTTTCGCCTTGTTTGGTATTGTGTGGTCTCTTTGTCCACATGTACTTTTAGGATGCATGTGTCCCATTGCACAATCCCCCAAAAGAGCAATATGTTCATCTGAAAAGCTGTAGAAAGTACAGTAGATGCTATAAATCCCCATTTCTTTCCACAACCATAACTCCTACAGGCCCCAACATCAAATACCTACTTGTTGGAGTGACAGTCTTAGCAAAGAATGGATTTTATGTAGCACAGTTGGTGATGCCACACACAGCTATGATTGTTATATAAAGTCTGTTTCATCAACTAATGACACAATGATTGTCTGTTGCAATAACCAACACAACACAAAAGGCAATTGGTAATGTGTATGAAGCCGGTAAGGTAGGAAAAATAGGCAAGATAGCCCTCCAGTGGATCCAACAGAGTTGTCTGTGGCAAGGCTAAGCACAGGATAAAGCAACAATACATCCTGTGGAAATTAGGTAGCAAATATAGATGAGAATACTAACTAAAATCGATATGGCCAATGGCAGGCTTATAGTTGCAGTCTGCATCCAGTGAATCAGAATATGATCCTGCTGGAGACATAGATATTGACCTTTGGGCTTCCTGTTTGTGGGAGGCAGGACCTTTAAAAGCAGGTCAGAAATTGGCATATTGGCTTAGGTTTATCTCCAGTTGGCACTTAGAATCGCTTTGACCTTTGTCCTGCTAGGATGTTCCTTGACCCCGGGGTCAAGTCAACAGGAAAAGTAGGGGAGGTTTGCTAAATTCTCTAGGGGGGCCTGTGGGTCTGATTACTACAGATGGTCTTCTTATGAGCAGTTTCAGTTGTTTGTTCAGGAGAGATGTACTTACATTACACATGTTGATGGTATCTGGCTCTACTGTGGTTGAATGCACTTCCTCTTTGGACAACATGCTTTTTATTGTCCCACAGATAGTAGATGGATGATGGGAAATCAGGTGTCTTTTGTGGATCTGGAAAAGTCCTTTGCACTTGACTGTGTTCTTAATACAAGCGTTACAGTAAATGTACATGCATGTGTTACCTGTGCAATCCAAACAAGAACTGAATTTCAGTTTGCAATCTAAGCAATGTAGCTCCCAACTTGTTTGGCGTTGAATAGAGAGGCACATACCACAAGCTGTAAGGAACACCTTTGAGAAAAGTCTGAATAATGGTGATGTTTAGGTGTTTCGAGCTGCTTAATGTTTAAGATTTGAGCTGCTAAATGTTTATTCTAGGTATTTCTACAGTGTACATTGTGTGTATAATGACTGTGTAACCCTGATCACTCGAGCTAAATCTGATTACATCTCTTTTATCTTCACACCACATTTGTGAAAAACTTCAAACCATTCAAATACTATATCATCTGAAAAATCCAATTTTCTTTTTTTTTGTCACCTTTCCGCACTGACAGAACATCTTGGGATTGATTTTATGGGTATGGATTATTCCTTCCTCCTAGTTTGCAGATGTAAGCTTAACCCCCTCTACTCAAGCTAGTTTCTCTTGAAGGGGTCATACAGCCTTGACCATCAGCACAAATAGGATACCACATATTAGAGTAATCAAAAAATGTCTGACAAAGCACTGTGATGCATCTGCAAGCTATCATTTGGATGTAAAAAAACATGCGATTCAGTGAAACGGTCCAATGACTGCTGATGTATTTGAGTACAAGATGCCGAAGAGGCTGTACATTTCTGACGCTGTATGTCCAAACCCCTTCAGCTCCCCCTCCTGCATTTTCTGTTGCAACTAGTGTTCAGCATGAGACAATAGAGCAGCATCACTGTCCTCCTACCTCCATCCATCTCTTTCCATCTGCCTTCCTGTTTCCACCTCCACCACATGTATGTTTCCTACTGTTCCCTACAGCCCCTCTTCATTATAGCAGCTTTGTAGTCTCATCACACTAAGGCCAGAGTCCTCTTATATCTTCTGAATGGTTTAAACATATCTCTGAAACACTGATATTCTATAAATGAGCATTTCGTTATGAGATTACACAAGTAAATGTAAAATAAATAGGCTATATTATGTACAATGTGTGTGTCATGTACCTTAATATTATACTGCTAATATACAGTTGGAAAAAATGACCCTTTTGAGCTTCTGATTTGCAAAAAAAGATCGTAAAACATGGGAAAGTTGTTAAAAATTAAACCCCCATACCTGCAAAATTGTTAATTCATTCTGCAGGTGTTGGCAGGCTTAGAGCTTGATGAACAATGTAGGACAATTCTAGAACAAATACAAGTAAAGGGAAACAGGCCAATGGATGGGAGTTCTCTCAGTTATAGATATTTCAACTTCTTGAGTGGTCATCCAAGAAATTATGTTTAAGGTTTATGAAATACAGAAAAGCAAAAACCATTGTTGAGAGCTGGACCAAATGTACCTGCTTTAGGCTAAATCAGGACAATGCATTGGTTGGGCTTATATTTGTATATTAAAGGGACACAGCTTTCGGAACAGTTGGATAATGTTTTCTATAAGATATAAGAACTATCAAGACTAGGAAATAACCCTGATGACATCCCTATGAAGTCAGGTGTGTTGAGATGCATTATGGGAAGAGTAGGATCCAGTGTTTTTGGGGCTTGGACTGAAACTTATGATATCTAGGCCTCCGCTGCTTCAAATTTGACCCTCAAAACCTTCTCTCCCTTAGTGCCTTGCAATACTAAATCACTTCCACTTTAAATAGATAACTGTCAATGCTTTGTCCATCAGAGAGACTTATTCTGAAGTAGCTGTCATTCATAAATACCATGTTTGGCTGCTTTGAAAGGTTATTGAATGACGGCCACTCTGCCCAGCTCCAATCCTGTCAATAATAATAGCAAATAACTCCAAAAACAACGATTCGTTTGGACCGTTGTTTTCTATGTTATCCTTTTAGTTTGGGGTTATGGCTGGAAGGGTCCTAATGTATATGTGTGTGTGTGTGTATGTGTGTATGTGTGTGTGTGTGTGTGTGTGTGTGTGTGTGTTGTGTGTGTGTGTGTGTGTGTGTTGTGTGTGTGTGTGTGTGTGTGTGTGTGTGTGTGTGTGTGTGTGTGTGTGTGTGTGTGTGTGTGTGTGTGTGTGTGTGTGTGTGTGTGTGTGTGTGTGTTGGTGTGTGTGTGTGTGTTTTGTACACCTGCAGTTTTAAGATTTGGACTTTCCTCTTTTTCAGAAACGGAGGAGCTGTATCAGAAACGCATTATAACAATAACCGGGATCTGCATTGCACTCCTAGTCGTTGGAATCATGTGTGTGGTTGCCTACTGCAAAACAAAGTAATTCATGTGACATTTTCCTTTTTTCACTAATGAATTATGCTGCATTCACAGGATTCAGGCAGGCGGTCTACACTTTTTAGATTGCATAGGAAAAACCAATAAATCAGACAAAATGGCAGGAGGGCAAACAAAGGATATGTTGTTATGGTTATAATTGCAGTATAGGAATTAAATACTTGTGTGTCTATTGTTTTTTTTTTATTATTATTGTAATAACCCGGTAGGATTTCAAGCTCTGATCATATATTAGTGTTGCACCACTCAAATTATTTTCTTGTCCAGTTTTGTGAGAGTTATGCACGTTTTGCTATCTTCAAAAAGGACAAATTATCTTTTCTCTTTGGGCAGCAACAGAGTGGTGCAGTAATGAGTCCTGAAACCCGGAACAGACTTAGTATTTTACCACTTCTGGTTCCCTTGTCTCGAAGCCAATGGTTTACTGAACGTGTTTTTGGTTAGATGCCTGAAATAAGATCTGTGGTTAACAAAAGCTGAAGAAATGTTCCCAGTAAATAACCCACTGGTGAATGTCTGAAGCGTCTATGTGTCATAAAAACAGCATTTGCTAACGTGTGACTAAATAAACTACTAAACGTCATCATGCTGAACATTAGCCACTTTTAGCTTAGCGTTAATACAGTTTGTTTATAGCCTAACGTTAGCTTTATATTTCTGCCAATTCAATTTATGCTACAAAAGTTAGCCAAACATTAGCCACCATTAGCTTAGCGATGGTAATGCACAACCGTGATGTCGTTCGGTATTAGCCTAGCATTAGCTTTTTAGTTAGCATTTACACTTCGAAAACATCCCAAAGTGGGGTTCATATGTGGAGATTATCCTTCTGAACAAGACGTGTGTTCGCTACAAAGCTAATTGTCTCCAATAAACCAAAATCACAAGTGGAAATCCCATTGCTTTTTGTCGAAGGAGCCTTTGAGATGCTATCTTCCGGGTCTACCTACTAAAATATGTCATCACTGCACCACTCTGTGCCGACTAATGCTATTCCTTACCTAATTTTACTGTCCTCTTCTCGTCCACTAAACATAATATCCTGTTTGCTGTCTACCAACCGCCTGAATCCCTGTAAATGAAGCATTAAAGGCACACTTTATGATTTTATTATTGGCCCAACAATCGACGAATCTCCTTAACTAAACCGCTTTACAACCCCCTTTGTTTTTTTTACAATCAGGAAGCGGAGGAAGGAGCTCCACGACCGTGTGAGGCAGAGTCTGAGGAAAAAGAGAAACAACAATAGCAATAAAGGTGTCGACCCCAACATGGCAAGTTCAGCCAGAGGAGGTCCGACTTCTAACTTGCCTCTTCAGGATTTGCAGCTCATCAATGTAGGCTTTTATTTGTTGGTTTCAAGAGAAAAAGGACTCAAAACATGTTAAATCTGTCAATGCACGCCACCTGACCATCTGTTTTCTTCTCCTTTTGATAGCAAAGTAAAGGGAAGACTGCTCAGCATGCAGCCGAGGGGGGAACAGAAACTACCTTCTCCACAAGCCAAAACGCTTTATCTGCGCATGAACCCACCACATTCACCAACATCTCTAGCCAAAGGTAAGGCAGAATTATCAATATATCGTCCGTTTTGATAGATGTAATATTAGGTTTTATCTAGGCGACACATTGAAAAGCCACAAACCCCGGTTCCAGGCAGTTTCCATGCTTCATTTTGCGATTTATTTTCCTGATGCACCACTGTTTTGGACTGGTGGTAAAAACAACTGGAAATATGGCTTTACAAAAGTGAATATCCGCAATCTCTTAGAAGTAATGGCAATACAATTTAAAATAGTTGATCATCTCCTGGCGTGAATGAGAGCATAGTAGGCATAGAGTGCCTGCCCTTTCCGGGGGAGCTCCATGGGACCTTATTTCGAAACAAGTATGTATTGAAGTCAATGGAGAGAGAAAGATTATCTTTCGATCCCGTTTGAATTGTGCCACGAATTACACATTATGATGTTTGTCAATTTAAAAGATAATTTTGCAAGTCAAAAAAATTAAAATAACACTTTTTTTGTGTGAAACCGCTCAATGAACTACATCTCCCATCTCGCACCAACACCAAGACGGCCGTCACGTTGAAACATTTCACTTTCGGAATGAGGCGAAAAGTATTGAAAGAGGTGAAAATCACTCCAAGTCTGGGCATGTTGAGAGCTGTACATACACACAAGGGGAGTTAGTCGGTTCCGTAAGAGCCAGCATGCGGGACCGGGACTCTGGGATTTGTAGTCTTTCTAGTTGCGTATTTTTCATATTTCAACAGTTTTACGACAAACTGTGACTTTTTTGACTTGGAAATCATTTTTTAAGATTGACAAACATCATATGTGTAATTTGTGGCACAATTCAAACGGGATCGAAAGATATTCTTTCTCTCTCCATTGACTTCAATGCATACTTTTTCCGAAATAAGGTCCCATGGGTCGGAAGTAGATGGGCGGGACTTCGCCTCTCTATTGTTGGTGGTTGGATTTCTAACAGAACACAATAAAGAAAAATCTTGATTACAAACTATTTGCAAATATTGATGTTCAACTTCGCCTACAATGATTTATGCTGTACAAGAAATAGTATAATGACACAAACAGCAACAATTAAAAACACATACTGGTGAACCTATTTCTCTTCAATATATTGTATTAAGGTGTTTATGTAATGTGTGTCAGATGTGTGCTACAGAAACTGAGTGCTTGATGCACCTACAGTATAGAGTAGCTCTTGTTTAATGTCTTTGTTTTTAAATGTCTGAGACTTTGTCCTCTACTCGCAACGGTTCCTGTGAGGCTACACTTATTCAAAATAAGTATTTACTGGTCAATTCAGATGTAAATTGTAGTTGGTTGGGCACTGTGACATCTGAGCTGCAGTGAAGGATGCTGGGAAAATGTCTGTCATGCTCCTGATTGATACTTACAGAAAACTGTGGTTCAACAATAAAACAGAAACAATATTAGTACACAGAGGGAGGAAGCATTAAGCATATAGAGTGCCACAGTGACGCATCCTAAAACCCGCAAGTAAGTTAGTATTTTACCACTTCCGGTTCCTTCGCCAAAAAGCAATGGGATCTCTCCATAGGATGTTGGGAAATAGCTGGAAATAAGGTCTGTGGTTGAGACACATTGAAGAGACTGATCACGCTTTGTTCTACGACAGTAAATACATCACCCCGCTGGTGATTCCTGAAGAGTTTACGTGTCTGAAAAACGATGGTTGTTACCAAGTGGCTGAATAGGACTACAGAAGCTGTCGAGGCCGTTTTACGTCATGACACCGAACACGTAAACACTCCTCTAAGTTAGTTTCTGTTCTGCTTGAAAGCAAGTCCCTGCCTCCTGCAAACTGTTCAAACTAACACTTCAACTCGTACCATTTAGAGTCTGTATGTTTGAATATGGATCTTAAGTCGGCGTGACGTTGAAGCAGCGACCCTGCTGTAGTTCCTTTATAGCATAACGTTAGCATTTTGCTTCTGGCGACTAGATTTATGATTCGAAAATAATAAAAGTAGGATAGACATGTGGAGATTATCCGGCTGAACAAAACGTGATCCGTCTCTTAAATGTGTCTCAACCACAGACCTTATTTCCAGCTATTTTCCTAAATTCTATGGAGAAATTGCATTGCGTTTTTGTCGAAGGAACCGGAAGGAGTTTACTTCCGGGTTTTGGGCACTGTGGCACTCTATACAGCTGCTTAAATAAATAATACCAGATCCTATTTCCCTATAACTTCACATAGATGGTAAACGACTAATTAGCAGATCACTTGTATTTAAGAAAAATACACAAACACTCGCACAAAACTTTGCCAGTGTAGACATAATGACCATGATCAGAGTGACATTTAACAGATAAGCATAACGATTACAAACATTAGCATCAGGCCGGCAGACTTTATGCTATCACACACTTGATTGTAAGGCCAAAATGTCAAATGTATTAATATCCTGCACATACATCAAGCAAGATCTCTTCTGTCTCTTATTAGCTGAGGCAGGCGAAAAATAGTACAGTATATGCCGATTTGGTTAAGGTCACCCTGACACACCACAGGCATTTCATCAGCTGAGTGTTGCTTTGGAAAGGAAAATGACATTGAACCGTTTTCAGACTCAGATTCAAAGATTCAAGATTCAAATGTTTCATTGTCATATGCAGATAAGCTACAGTGTAGAAATGGCAATGAAAATGTTGAATGATGAATGTTATGTCCCGAGCTCCTCCAGTCTATACATACGTAAATAGAATATGATACAAGAACAGAATTTAAGATTACATATGGTACAGTAAAATGAAATTAATTCCGGTTTATTACAGTGATAACTATTTAGATAAATAAGTCAATTGCAAGATGACAAACAGATGAAAGCTTCTGGAGGCACTTAACACAGCTCAGGTGTTCAGCAGTCTTCTGGCCTGTGGGATGAAACTGTCCCTGAGTCTGGTGGTGTTAGTCCTGATGCTGCGGTACCGCCTGCCAGTAAAGCTTAGTTCTGTCACAGCAAAACTCCAATGAGACGTTTGCTCCAACATTGCTTCAAAATGCACAGAACTGTGTAGTTGATTTGTTTATAGTGTCGTGGACAGTCCCCATTGATCAACTGTCACAAAAAACATTAAATGGGGCAGCTTTAGCCAACTTTGTTAATTTCCAGCTGTTGTCCCCGTCCAGATGTTAATAGACACCTTTTTTTAAATCACAATATATCAACAGCATTAGTTATGAAGAATGGATGAAAGACAAGTAGATAGAGGCGATGGAATCACCTCTTACCATCGCTTATAGGCATAGTTAATCTCTAACTGAGACATAAATATGATTTTTTTATGATTGAATAGGATAACAATGCTGTCTCACCCATGGATGAATTACAAACAAAATCATATCAAATGCCTTTTGGGTCCCATTTCTTGATTTCCACATTTTGAATTAGATACTTATGATATCAAATCTGCTGCATCACTTTGAATTCATGCAGACAAACTTGAAGATAAAATACGAAAGTGAAAGGCTCGGCTACACAAACCTGACCCACAATATATTCATGTCGTGGTCTAAAGGCCTGTCTGAAAGCTGTCTCCATGTAAACGTCCCCTCTGTCTCCCCAGCTGGAGTAATGACTGGAGCAACAGTGTTCAGTCTGACACTGAGTCTGTCTCGGTGATGTCATTGGCGGAGACTAGCCAGCGAGCGCAGGGCACCCGGGGGCGTCTGTATGCCACCGCTGGCAGCAGAGACTTAAGTGCTCATCCAAAGAAGGGCCGAGACAGACCAAACTCCGACAGGGACTTGCCTTAATGACAAGGTAATTGGTTAATAAATTCTAACTCTGCGTCACAAACAGGAAACCAAGAGGCACATCAAACGTACATAGAGATAAGCAGTGGTGGGAGAAGTACTCAGTTCTTGTACTTGAGTAAAAGTAGAAGTACTCAGATCTTGTACTTGAGTAAAAGTAGTACTCAGATCTTGTACTTGAGTAAAAGTAGAAGAACTCAGATCTTGTACTTGAGTAAAAGTAGAAGAACTCAGATCTTGTACTTGAGTAAAAGTAGAAGTACTCAGATCTTGCACTTGAGTAAAAGTAGAAGTACTCAGATCTTGTACTTGAGTAAAAGTAGAAGTACTCAGATCTTGTACTTGAGTAAAAGTAGAAGTACTCAAATCTTGTAGTAAAAGTAGAAGTACTCAGATATTGTACTTGAGTAAAAGTAGAAGTACTCAGATCTTGTACTTGAGTAAAAGTAGAAGTACTCAAATCTTGTAGTAAAAGTAGAAGTACTCAGATATTGTACTTGAGTAAAAGTAGAAGTACTCAAATCTTGTACTTGAGTAAAAGTAGAAGTACTCAGATCTTGTACTTGAGTAAAAGTAGAAGTACTCAGATCGTGTACTTGAGTAAAAGTAGAAGTACTCAGATCTTGTACTTGAGTAAAAGTAGAAGTACTCAGATCTTGTACTTGAGTAAAAGTAGTACTCAGATCTTGTACTTGAGTAAAAGTAGAAGAACTCAGATCTTGTACTTGAGTAAAAGTAGAAGTACTCAGATCTTGTACTTGAGTAAAAGTAGAAGTACTCAGATCTTGTACTTGAGTAAAAGTAGAAGTACTCAGATCTTGTACTTGAGTAAAAGTAGAAGTACTCAGATCTTGTACTTGAGTAAAAGTAGAAGTACTCAAATCTTGTACTTGAGTAAAAGTAGAAGTACTCAGATCTTGTACTTGAGTAAAAGTAGAAGTACTCAAATCTTGTAGTAAAAGTAGAAGTACTCAGATATTGTACTTGAGTAAAAGTAGAAGTACTCAGATCTTGTACTTGAGTAAAAGTAGAAGTACTCAAATCTTGTACTTGAGTAAAAGTAGAAGTACTCAGATCTTGTACTTGAGTAAAAGTAGAAGTACTCAGATCTTGTACTTGAGTAAAAGTAGAAGTACTCAGATCGTGTACTTGAGTAAAAGTAGAAGTACTCAGGTCTTGTACTTGAGTAAAAGTAGAAGTACCAGAGTGTAGGAATACTCTGTTACAGTAAAAGTCCTGTATTCAAAATGTTCCTCAAGTGAAAGTAGAAAAGTATTCTCATCAAAATATAGTGAAAGTAGCGACAGTAAAAGTAGTCGTTGTGCAGATTGGTCCATTTCAGAATAATATATATGATATGTTTTATAATGATTGATCATGAAAGTGTTCTCAAAGCTGGTAAAGGTGCAGCTAGTTTGAATGACTTTGTATACTGCAGGGTAGCTGGTGGATTTACTCCAGGTGGAACTAAAGTCTGATTTAACACTTGATTATATTTACCATCATTCATCCAGATCTGTAAAGTAACTAAAGGGATTAAATACATGTAGTGGAGTAGAAGTACACCATTTACCTCTGAACTGTAGTGGAGTAGCATAACATGGAAATACTCAAGTAAAGTACAAGTATCTCAAAATTGGACTTAAGTACAGTACTTAGAGTAAATGTACTTAGTTACTTCCCACCTCTTGAGACAACAAGACGCATTCAGAAGGAACACATGCATCAAATATAAATAAAGTAGCCTAGTATACACAGTTAATCCACAGCCTTTTCTAAAAACATACATATTTAACCCTTGTGTTGTCTGAACTTTTGTCTTCCCGATTGGTCTATTTATAAAGCACATAGTTTAAATAATCACCAAACCTTTTAAAGCAACTTTATTCTTACTTATTGCCACAAGTTGTACTCCTTTTTTGGAAATGTACGATACGATACTGTATTGGTCAGATCAAGTCTGAAATTTGACTTGCATCACAGTATGTATGGTCAAAAAACCTAATTTACACCAAATCAAACCTAATTTCTGAGTTAAAAAAGGAAAAAATTCTGAATAATTTTACTAAATTGACCCCAGATGCTATAGATTTGAATAATACCTCAAAACATGTTATTTTTCTGGCACTATAACATCAAATAAACCTTTATCCCGACATAAAAACACTTGGGAACGTGTCAGATTTGACCCAAGGACAACAGGAAGGTTAATAGTATACAGTACCACTGTATCATGGCTCACAATACACCGTCCGACACAACTGGGGCCGACACATTATGAGGAATTAATCATGCATTGAAAAATATTTAGAAAGACTGTTAATAAGCACCACAAATTACATATACAATAAAAAGCTCTTCACTTCATGTAGAGTTAGATTTAAATGATGCACCTCAATTGACTGACAGTTTTCTCAGCTTCTTATAACTAAAGCACACAGTGAAGCTCACTCTCACTACTTTATGAACGTATAGGTTCCCCTACTCAATAAAAAAAAGAACAAATGAACCACAGAAAGTGAAAACCATAAAGCAGATTCAGGCAGTAGGCGTATAGATTACAGAACAGTACAGAAGAAATACAATCTGCTCCTTTTAAACAAAAATAAACCAAATATGCCTTCTTATTTCCTTACAGTATATGGATTAAGAGCCCCCACAGAATGGGCTTTGTAATATATCATATCCTTTATTTTAAATATATATCGTAACATTGTTATCCTGGTTGTAATCCCCATTTATTTTAAATGTACCAGTAATCTGATTACATATTTTTGTATGTAACTGGAATTAAATACAATTTCCTTTTCTTTGTATCCTGATGATAAGACCCCGTTATCTATATATATATAGTCCCTGTCAGGCGTCCAAACTGTGGCTCTCCAGTTGTTCCTTTTACTCTATTCCTTCTTCCACTTCCTCACAACCCCCACCCCTCTCTTAGCATTAACCAAATGTTTTTCCAGCCTGTAATAACCATTACACAGTACACTAGCCATCTATCGACCTCCTGCATTACGCCAGCCTATAATCTGCAGCAATCATGTCGATCTGGAGAGACTATCAGCAGTATCTACACCAGCCAGCCAAGGGAATTCAGCACATATTTGTCATCTAATACCTCCATGGAAAGAAGGAAAGGAACTGTATACTGAACTCAGATATCACTCCCTCACCTCCATGCCTCAGGCTGACAACTCTTACAAAGGTTTGCTCAAAACTCAGTTAATTGTTATCCAGCCATCATGCAATTTATGAACAGATTCCCTCTGAAATCTGCCCAACAACAGCTCATTCTCCAACGTTACCGGGCACCAAAACTGTAATTTGCTGCTTCTCTATACGGGGATTAAGACTATGGCCCCAGAACCAGACATTCATCCTATATCAGTTCCACTTTTTTACTTTTCAAACAATAATACAGTACAATATATTTTTCAGTAAAATTCACATTTTCCGTTATGATAATAGAGTACCACTCCAGGGCTAAAACAAATCAAATGTAATAAAGATGGCCTACCTTAGAAAACAAGACAAATAATCGTAAATAAACTCAAATAATAATGATGGAAAGATAAAGTGACAAAGGTGTTAACAATTCTTATTGTATTAGTAGATGTATGACAGGGGCCCATCGCTTGATAAATATATTTTTCTGTAGGCGTAATAAATATGTGATTTGCTCCATGTGGTGGATATCCCACACTCTCTGAATCCAGCAGTTATAGGTGGGAGGTTCTGGTTTCAACCATTTAATGGTGATGCACTTCAGGGCCACTGTCAATAACATTCTTAATAGATAAGTCTTAGACCTCTCTTCTAGACCCTCAGGTAAGACTCCCACCATCGGATTTAGAGCAATATTCTTCTGGAACACTTCTTTAAGAGCATCAAATATCTCTTTCCAAAATGAATGTAATTTAGGGCATAACCAAAATATATGAGTATGATTTCCCACAGTTCCACATAAGTTACTATGTGTTGGGCCCATTTTTGACACTATATCTGGTGTTCGGAAATATCTGGTAACTACTTTCCATTTAAATTCTCTCCATGTATATGAGTTTGTCACTAAGTTTTCTTCGGTGAATATGTCCTCCCAGGTATCTTGGGTAATATCTACGTTCATTTCTAATTCCCATCTTTGCTTTATATTCACCGAGCTATCCAGATTCATTAATAGGAATATTTCATATCATTTACCAACTATTTTCGGTCCTTTATTTCCCAATTGTAATTTGATCAGATCATTTTCTATTGGGGTAGGTTTTCAGAATTGTTCCCATTAATTCCACCTTTTAAGCAGCATGTTACAACCAACCTTTCAAATGCTTCACGAGAAGCCACCAAAATGCCCTCGCACTCTTTCAGTGTTCAATCATCTGGACTTGTTTCAAGGTGTGATGAAACTCTTGAAGCAAAGAACTGAAACACAAATGGCGCATTTCCACTGCAACGGGGTAGCCCCGTTTAAGCGTCCTCGCTCAGGCCTCGGGCTGCCTCGCTGGCCGTCCGAGGCCGTGGCGCATTTCCATTACAGTTTAGGACCTGGGGTAACAACGCAGTGTAGGCGGGGCGATCGGCTTTGTTTTTGTTCACATTTCGAGTTGTTCCGTCGAGCTCCCGCTGGATTTGATCATCCCCAATGAGATGTAGGAACGTCGTCACCTCCTCGGTCGACCACGGTGTGCTTTTCTTATTAGACGTAGCCATTTTTGTAGCTCATCCGTTTACAAAATGCTGTTTATAAAAATGCTGCAAGCTTGCTTCTAAATATATATGCGACGCTAGGGATGAACTCGCGCGCGATCTTGTGACGATTCTCTCTGACCAATCAGCAGTCGAGAGTGTTGACGTCACTAGTTCAGCCCTGGCCCTGGTCTGATAGAACCACGATTTTATGGGGCCGGAAAAAGAGGGAAAAAGTACCCGCTAGCCGGTACTAGGCTATATGGAAAGGCCACCAAAAACTGGCCTGGCCGCTTGAGGACGGTTAAGGACGCTTAA